GGGTCTGCGCCCCCCCCCGGCGCCCGAAAGGCCCCGGCGGGGGGGGGGGGCGGGCAGGGGAAGAAGAGCTCTGCTGTGGCAAGGGGGTCTGGTAGGGAAACTGAGGTGGGCAAGTGGGGGTTGGGCTCTGCCCTAATGGAGGCAGGAATTGATTTGCTCCTGAACACATTGGGGAAACTGAGGCATGCTCACCTCTGTCACCTGGACCCCGGCATCCAGCGCGTGCTGCACCAGGCCAATGGCTGTGTCATGGGACAGTGCATTGAGGTTGTACTTGGCCCTGGCCAGGGCGAAAGGACAGCCTTTTTAGAGCTCCTGGAAGGTGTCAGGGCAATCCCCAGGGAGCACCAGCTCTGGGGTAGAGCTTATGGACAGGCCTGCATAGGATAGGATGGGGTGTGGCTACCTCTGGGGTCAAACAGGTGCATAAAACACATGGGGGGAGGTGGGGCTGGGATGCAGCCAGCTCTGGGGTAAAGTGGCTGGGAACAGCCACATAGAACAGTGGTTCTCAACCTTTCTTGTACCAGGACCCATTTGTAAACATTGATGGCCAGTCCCAACCCAGTGTCCTTCAGTCCTGACCCACTACCCCTCCACTCCCAGGCATCAGCTCCCTAGTGTGTGGGGCGAGGAGGGCCCAAGCAGCCCCTTGCAGGCTGGAACTCTGTCAGCCTGCAAGGGAAAAGCCACCATTTCCCACATTTTCTCCTTTAAAGGAGAATCCATTTTTTAAGTTTGTTCACGACCCTGTCATAGATTCTTGAAACCCACTTTTGGGTCACAATCCATGGGTTGAGAAAAGTTAACACAGAACATCATGGGGAGGGGACATGAGACTGGAATGCAGCCAGCTCTGGGGTGGAATACCTGGGAAGGGTGCATAGAACATCATGGCGGCATTGAAGCTAAGATACAGCTGGCTCTGGGGTGGAACTGCTGCACATAGCATTGGGGGGGTAGAGCTGGGATGCGTCTGGCTCTGGGGTGCAGTAGCTGGGAACAGTGGCATATACCACAGGTGTGGCGGGGAGGTCTCACCGCTGCTGCATGCTGGTGGAGATGAAGTCCGGGGACAGCACATGCAGGGCCCAGCCAACAAACTCCTTGGCACCATCCAGGAGTTCAAAGAGCTGCTCCCGCTCTGCCTCCGACAGCGTCTTTGAGTCTGGGAGCAAGGGCATGGGGGGGTAGGGGGCAACCCAAGGCCTGGGGGGGCTCCTGGGAGATTCACCCTCCTTCCCCCATCCCAGAGCAGGGAGAGAACCCAGGCATCCAGGCTCCCAGGCCCCCTTGCTCCAACCTCCCTTAAATCTCAGAGAATCTTCTGAGATTTCCTGGCTCCTAGCACTCAGCCCCAGGTCCTCCTCCCCCTCACAGAGAACCCAAAGAACTTGGTCTCCCCCTGCTCCATCCCCCACCCTGCCACTACCCCCCCAGCTCCACTCCTCCCACTGCAACCACCCCCAAAGCCCTGCAGAGACCCCCAGCCCCTCCCCCACCAGGCCTCGTGGGAGGGGGGATCTTGGGGTGACCCCACTGTTACCTGCCACCTTCAGTGCCTGCAGCTCCTCCAGCCGGGACACAGGGCAGTAGCAGATGCCGTAGACCATGGGGCCTTGTGGGGCAGGGGGACAGATCAGGGGGGCTCTGCCCCAGCCAGGAACGGGGAGCATCATCCTCCCATCACTCCCTCCCCTCCCAGAGAAGCTACCCCCCACAGCACCTCTCAACTACTTCCCTGTGGGGGATCTGGTGGGAGAGAACACATGAGGGGCACTAGATGCATCGGGGGCTGCCCCCCACCCCCCTTACAAGGCTCCATATCCCGCGTGCAAAGCCCCATGCAAAGCCCCGTGCAAGATTCCATGCAACTCCCCCCCGGTGCACCCCCGTGTATGCAAGACCCTGCAAAGCCCCTTGCAAGGCCCCCCCACCGGTACCGAGCACAGGCCCCCGCCCCGCCTCGTCGATGCCCAGGCAGCATGGCAGCTCGCGGCACAACGCAGGCACCACCGAGCCCACCGGACCCCCTCGGCCGCCGCCGGCCTCCATGCTGGGCTGCCCCCACGCCTCGCGCAAAGGCTGCCGGGAATCGCAGTTCCGGCGGGGTGGAGCAGGCCACGCGCGGGAGGCGCAGAGGGGGCTAGTGGGTAGAGTGGGGGGAGCCGGACGCCTGCGTTGTCTGGAAGGAGTGAGGACTAGTGGTTAGAGCAGGAGGCGGGGGAGGGGACCCAGACGCCGGGAGGGGGGGCTAGGAGGGGAGAGGGAGCTACAGAGCGGGGCTGGGGAGCCCGGACTCCTGGGTTCTCTGCTGGGAGGAGGGGTTCCTGGTTTTAGAGTGGGGCCCCTCCCCAGACTGGGCTGTGATGGGGAGCGGGTGGTTGGCGGATGATCCCGGACGCCTGAGCCAGGAGCGTGGCGGGAGAGCGGGGGTTTGTCGTAGCCCCCACCTCAATGGGAGGGAGAACCCCCGGATCCCCCCCTGCACATAGCGCCCATTGCTCGGGCGGGGGAGGGGGGACTGAGACTCTGTTCCCTTCCCCCACCGCCCGGCCGTAGCGCTTTGAATTGCCCGGGCTCCTCATCACCGCCAGCTCGGGGGGGGGGACTGGCCCAGCCCCG